CCATGAGGGTGCAGGCCCAAGCACACAGGCCTCACCCTCCACTGCTTTTCCTACTGTGTTAGCGGGGAGCTGGATTGGAAGTGGAGCAGCTGGGACTTGAACTGGTGCCTGTATGGGATACTGATGCTCACAGGTGGCAGCTGAACCCATTGTGTCACAGCTCGAACCCCTTGACAGAGCCTTAAAGCAAAGCTTGACAAACACATGGTGCTGTCCCAATTTCTCTCCTCCTTGCTTTATTTTTATTTTTGGCCACTATATCAGGGCCGTGTCGGGATCCCCGTGGACACATTTTGACTTCACTCTCCTTAGAACAGATTCCAACGTAAGCCCACATCGAGGCTTTCTGGATTCACATGCGAATTGCCTTCCGGACAGGTGCTTCTTGGCCCACATTGGAAGTGTCCTCCTCTGGAATCTGGACCGGTGTCGCCAAGATGGCTGGCTGGCCGCGATCCTTTTTTGCTGACAGATGAGCTGCACAGAGTCGGGAGTGGGGCTGGTAAAGGCAGGCTCCGGAGAAGGGGTGAGGCCGGCGGGAGGACAGGAGACATACTTCTGTCGTGCTTTAGGGCTTTTCCCCAAACCTTGCGGTGTGACTGATGGTGGCCTTATTGACATGTGAGAGTTGCATATTTTGCTTTCTCTATGCATGTGGCTACAAACTAGACTTTTCTGGTTTGCCTTAACTCCTGTTTTATAGGAACATCTTAACCACAAGTTAAACTTCTAAGTGCATGGACTCGAGTGGACCCTGGCCACGAGCAGGGCCCTTGGCTTCACCCGAAAGAGGCGTCTCCTCAGTCACTCATGTCCAGCCATCTACCTTGTATAAGGATATGTTATTAAATATGCATCCAGGGGGTGGCATGGTGGCTCAACAGGCTAACCCTCCACTGGCAAGCACTGGGATCCCATATGGGAGCTTGTTCCTGTCCTGACAGCTGCACTTCCAATCCAGTTCCTTGCTGGTGGCCTGGGGCAGGCAGCAGAGGAGGGCCCAAGTCCTTGGAACCCTGCATCTGCATGGGAGACCCAGAAGAGTCCCTGGCACCTAGCTTCAGATCGGCTCAGCTCTGGATGCTGTGGCCATTTGGGGAGTGAACCAAATCATGGAAGATCTTTCTACCTCTCTCCTTCTCTCTGTATATCTACCTTTCAAATGAAAATAAAATAGATCTTTAAGGAGAAGTATCCTGTGGTGGTCACGTAACCCCTCTGAAATCGCAGCAGCAGTTTTTACTGCTTACAAGCCAAGCTGGAAGCTGATGCTTCAGGACTGACCCCCTGACTTACAGCGGGTCTGTCCTGGGGTCCAGCTTGCCTGAAACTTCTCTCGGCTTCCTTGCAGGGCAGGAGGCCCTGGGCAGGCTAGATCTACCCTCATAACCTGTGCATCTCGGGGACCACCATGACACCTAGCCTTGGTGCCGGGTGCCAGAGACCTGCAGCTCTGGTAGCCCCTTGATACGTCACAAGCACCCTGATCCAGGGGAGTGGTAGACCCTGTAGTCTGCTGACAGAGGATACGTTCCCTTTGCTTTACCCCAAAGCCTTGTCCTCCTTACTTGGACTGGGCACTGGGAACAGGCACTGAGCTTTTGACAACAGTCCTAAGGTTGGATCCACCAGGATCTGCACAGCCGAGATGAAGAAGTAGCAAGGAATGAAGCTCAGTCCGCCTTCTGAACTGTCGCTAGAAAAGCCCCTTGTTGGAGCCAGCAGGCGCGGCAATGAGAAGGGAGGGCCTTTCTCTCCTTTGCCTGCCGTGCACACAGCAGATGCTCTCCTGGTCCCAGAGCTGGGCTACAGAAGGCCTTGGGTGATGGACACAGGTGGGACTGCCTGTTGGACTGTCCGCCTGCACCTCTGTCTCCTGCCCGCCAGCAGGGGCCTGACTGTGGGAGCTGAGAGCTACAGCCATTTAGCAAGTTTCCCCACCCCACCCCACCCCTGTCCCCCTTAGGGACCCATAGGGAGTCCTGAGGCTTATAGAGCAAGGCAAGGCCCCTTGGCGCGAATTTGCATCTGGAGTCTTCTGGGCCCAAGGACACCTCTGGTGAATACCCCTCCCTTGTAAACACGTCTGTGCTTTCAGACTTGCCAGGGGGCCTGGTCTGAGTCTCCACATTTGTCTCCACGTGGTGAGGCACTGACAATAAAGCCACTGGTTACGCAGGATGGAGAATCGGGTCTGTGTGTGTGGCCTTCTGGTCACACTGGCTGAACGTCAGTGCTTGAATATGCGTGTTTATGTCCTGTGCAGTGTGCTGCTGTTAGTGGCAGTAATTGGTGTTGACAAAGTTCAATTCTCTGGTGATATCAAAAATAATAGATTTTAAAATATTTTTTTTAAAAAAGATTTGTTTTATTTGAGATGGAGATAGAGAGGTCGATCTTCCGCTCCCCGATTTACGCACCAAATGGCCGCAATGAGCTGGGCTGGGCCGGGCGCAAGCCGAGAGCCTGGACCTCTGTCCATGCTTCCCTTACGGGTGTCAGGGACCCAGATCTGTGGGCATATCTCCTGTCTCCCACTTGCATCAACAGAGAGCCGGAGCAGAAACGGAACAGCTGAGAACTCAAACTGACATTCCAATATAGGGTACGGCTAGAGTGGGTGAAGACTTAACCTGCTGTGCCACAATACTGGAGCCCAAAAGAAAGAAATTGTATAGGGGTCCTTGGACTCTGCAGACCTGGGAGGCGCTGACCCCTCTGACCCTCCAGGTGTGTTTCTGAGTGGTGGAGCCTGGTGGAGGCGCTGGTTGTGTGGCCCGTGGCCTGAAGTCTCCTAGAGAAACCACCTGAGGATCACGACCTGTCCTCGGCTTGGAGGCCACACGTTCCCAGATCTGACCCGCCTCAGCTCTTCCCAGGTCACAGGAGATCTGGGCACACTGCCCAGTGTCTGCTTGCAGCCCCCAAGCCACTCTTTCTGCACCCTTGGCATAGGTTTAGCTTTGGGAAAAGCAAGCCAAAGAGGAAGCTTTTTCTTTAGGAAGTGACGTGGCCTCAAGGACTCATAGGAGTGTTCGGGGGGATGCTGGCTGGAAAAGTGGACTCAGTTGGTTTGTCGTGATGTCTGTGCATGGGAAGGCTTGTTGGGAACCGGCACCAAAGCCTGGAAGTCTGAAATCACCACGGCCCTTAGATGGCGCCACGTAGGACACAGGATGTCCACGGCAGTCCTGGCGATTCCAAGCATGCCTTTTCTCTTGAAGAAGTCCACCAAGCTGTGTATGGAAAGAAAGGGTGGCATCTTACTGCAGGAGAGAGGTGAACCATGTAGGAGAAATGTCGGCCTTTGCAGAGGCAGCTAACCTGTTCAAGCAGGAGGCAGTGGTGCACTCTCATGCATGTTAAAGTTGACCAGTCACCGAGGGAAGCACCAGAGCTGGTCAGACGCTAACCTGGGGTCACATCCTGCCCTTGGGCCTCACCTCCACATTGCTGCCTTCAGGCCCAAATGTCCTGAACGATTTGGATGGGGCAGGAGAATGGACTCAGATCTGCTTACTCAGGATCCAAAAACAGGTACCTGCCCTTCAAAAGGCCTCGAGCAGAGGGCATCTTTTGCGTTTGTGGGTCTTCATGAGCGGTTTGGCCAAATGGTGGGCACTTTCAGCGGGGCACAGAAAAGGCCTGTGAAGAGGGTTTTGTAAGTGTGTTATTTTAAAGCTCGTCTGAAATGTCTGGCATTTGTGCCACCTCAAGGCTCGCTGTTTCAGCAAGGGTCCTCACATCCCCATTGTAACATTTTCCGAATTGTTTTTCACAGGGCAAACTCCTTTTTTAGAGTTCGTAGTGAAAAAAAAGGGGGTACTGCCAGTTTGAGGGGTGGTGTGGTGTGGAGAGAGCTGGGTCGAGTAATGTCTGGGTGTGACTTGTTCTGGGTAGTGGATGGATGGGTCCTGTTGGAGCCCAGGGGTTGGGGGGTTTGGGCCAAGGCCATCCGGTGGACTTGGCACATGGGCCATGGTTACGGAGCACAGCTGCCAGCTGCCGTCTCAGTAGGAAGGAAGGGGTTTCTCCCTGGGTGTCCTGCATGAAGGCAGCTCCGCCCCAGGTGTGGTGCGACCCCTGCAGAGCACGTGAGAGCCCAGCTCTGGCTTACGTCACTTTCTTGCAGCGTTGCTAGGAAATGTGCCTGGCTTCTTTCTTCAACAACGCAGGCAAATGGCGTGCTTGTGCGCAGGCTTTACGGCTGAAAATACACATTCTTCCTGGGGAGGGTGTGAAAAATCAAAAAGCTTGAAAGTAAAAGAATCAGAGTGAAACTGATCTGTCATCTTTGGGCTTCAGAAGACATAACAGCGACTTCAGCTGAGGGAACCACGCACCATCCTCATGGAGTTCCTGACTGGGGCAGTGAACTTGGCAGTGCCAGCGGAGACGGCTCAGCTGTCCACTGAGTGAACTCGAGGTGTGCCCACCGGCCGGGGGGTTCTTGCAGCGGGGGCTTTAAGAAAAGAATAGGCACACCCGTTTGTTAGGAGGACGTGCCTTTCCCAGTATTTCTTGTAAGCCTGGACTTGGCCACTAGTGTCTTTGATCCTGCTTCCCCAGCGTTTGCCTCTCAGTTGGAACAGAACTCGAATGCTCTGCTTAAACACGTCGTGATTCTCCCGTCCCACCACCGGCTCTGAAACAGTCAGGGCCGTGGCTGAGCCAGCTGCTGCTGCCTCCTTGGCCTGGTGCCTGTTTCTGGGCTGGGGAGGGAGAGCTGGGACACTCCCACGTCGGCTTACCGAATTAAAAAAGGACTCTGCCTGACTGGACCTATGGACGCTTCCAGTGTGCCCCCTGGGATCACGGCGGCTGCAGCCTCCGGGCCGGCCAGGAGCCCCACAGCACCCCTACCCCCAACTTCTGTTCTCCGGCCCCGCCTCCCCTCGGCCCCCCAGGCCTCTGATTGGTGCGTCGTGCAGCCTGGCCTTTTAGGGACTGTTGTCCAGGCCTTTGAAGTGATAAGGGAAAGGGTCCAGAGGCTGCTTTTATTAGCCAATCAAATATTCTCCTGACTGCGCTCCCCCCTCTTAAGAGGTGGTGGGAGGGGCAGGTGCCCAGAGCAGCCCTGGGCAGCCGCCAGCCCGCACCTGACACTGGCCTGTCCCGGGTTTGTCCCGCGACGCGTTCCCTCGCACGGGTGCGTTGGGGGCCGTCCCCGTGCCTGCTACCGACATGGTTATCAAAGTCTTTGTGGCCACTTCTTCCGGGTCCATAGCGGTAAGGCGTTCTTCTCTGTGGCTGGCACTTTTCTCCTGGCCTAGTTTTCTGGAAGGGGAAGGAGCTGGCCTGTGCCACCCTTCCACTCTGTCAGCTGCACTCGCGTGAGCGTGGACACCCCTTGTTTTGTTTCCGTGGTGTTGAGCAAGTGTGTGATCCGCGCACAGCTGGCACGCAGGGGGCTGCTGGCAGGAGGCGGGTTTCTGATGTGTGGTTTGTGGCTTCTGCCTGTGTACACTCACAGATTCTTTCTTTTTTTTTGGCATGGGGCGGTCGTGTTTCTGCTACTGGTCTCAAGTCACAAAGCGAGGGCATTGTTGTCGGCAGTTTAGAGCATGCGGTGGGCCGGTGGCTGGAACGATTCCTTGCGCGCAGTTACTTGTAGATGCGATGTTGACCGTACAGAAAGTGTAAAGTTAGCATGTGTAATTCTATTATTTGAAGAAGCTGATGTCACAGCTGTAAAAGCAAGCATCTTTAAGGCTAGAGTGGTCTGGTCTGGGACCAGCGACCTTCGATGCTGGCTCGCCCTCTGCCGCAGCCCAGACAGGAGCTGGGGAACAAGGACTCCTCCCTGGCGACAGCTTGGGCTCTGGCACCTGCAGCGTCCTGGCAGGAGTTAGGAGGGCTGCAGAACCAGTTGCAGCAGTCTTGGGAGTGGGACATGGGGGGGTTGTTGCCTTGGATGTTCCCAAAGCTCTCCTTTGCTGCCCACCCAGCCTGGCAGCAGAGAGCGGAAGGCAGGAGTAGGGGGCTCTGGTGGCTCCTGGGTGTCCTTCCTTTGCGATTGTTTTAGCTCTCCCCGAATGCAAAACCCTGCAGAGGCTGTGGTATGACTGAGGGCTGCGAGCGAGGCGTGGACCTTGGTGAATGCATCTTTGCAGTGTTTGGATGCCGTTTCTTAATAGAGCAAAATGGCACAAATGCGTTTCAATGATATTGTTAATGCTGTTGTTGACCGCTGGCATACCTACTTACCAATCTGCTCTAGTTTTCTGTACACCTGGTCCCATTCTTCCAGGGACTGCAAGTGTTAACGTTTGGGGTTGTTTGGTAATGTAGTCACCCTTGAGGCCCTGGAGGGATGCCGTTCTTGGACAGGGTAGGTGAATTCTGGTGGCCTAAGGATGTGTTTCTGTGACATTGTAATTTCATGACCTTGGGGAAAGTTATTTCACCTTGCCAAGCCTCAATTTCCTTGTCTGTAAAATGAGGATAAGAATAGTACCCGCCTCATGGTGTTGTCATGAGGACTTCAGAAATGCCAGGCTGCAGTGCCCAGCGTGGCACCAGGCATTTCATCAGCCCCCAGCAACTCCTAGAATTGTTGGTTAATGCTATACCTAGTAGCCAGTATTAGTTAATATCAGTTACTACTGTAATTTCTGTAATTCTCAACTCATGTGAATTGATGTTAATTAGAATCACAGCTGTTTTTAGTTAGTGTAATTATCACGTAGTATTTAGTAGATCTGAGTCTACAATCGCTGGATATAGAAACTGTCCAAAGCCAAATCAATAGAATAATTCCTTCCTTCCTTCCTTCCTTCCTTCCTTCCTTCCTTCCTTCCTTCCTCCCTCCCTCCCTCCCTCCCTCCCTCCCTCCCTCCCTCTCTCCTTCCCTTCCTCTCTCCCTTCCTTTCATTTCTTTCTTTCTAAAAGAGTTATTTAGTTATTCGACAGGCAGAATGCTCAAGGCCTTTCAACTGTTGATTTACTCTCTATGGCGCTAATGGCCAGAGCCCATCCAGGCCAAAGCCAGGAGCTCAGAGTTCCATCTGGGTGTCCTGTGTGGGTGGCAGGGCCTGGGGTTCCATCTGGGTGTCCTGTGTGGGTGACAGGGCCCGGGGTTCCATCTGGGTGTCCTGTGTGGGTGACAGGGCCCAGCAAGGGCTCTGCTTTCTCAGGCGCATTAGGAAGGAGCTGGGTTGGAGGTGGAGGGACAGTGTGCTGGGGGCCTGACTGTGCAGCTCTCGGCTTAGGGTACAGAAGCTTCTCTGTTTCTGGTCTTTCTCCACTCACCCCACTCTGAGGGAGCCATCACTACATCCCTGTTACACACGGGGAAGCTGGGGGTGTGAGGCCCAGCGCAGATGGCCAACTTCTGAGCTCGGATGACTCCCATCCAGCGTGCTTCTTACTACCGTACAGTGACCTCGGCTGGAAAGGCTCCTGACTGTACAGCACAATGAGCAGGAGGTGACAGACGAGTGACAGTGAGAGGTACTGCTTTCAGGTCACTGCGACACATTTGGAGCAACTCGCAGTGGCTGGGTGACTTAAGGTCGGAGGAGGAAACAGGACAAGATAGGAAAAAGGAGCTCTTGTGTCTCAGTGGCGACACTGGCCCAGCTAGCGCAGATCCCGGGTCTCCACCCAGCACAGGCCCTGCAGCCTTGGAGCTGGCTTGAGCCCAGGGCACCCCGGAGGGGCACAGGGAGGAGGCAGAGGGAATGTGTGTGGGAGAACTCCTGAACTACTGCGCATGCAGCCCTGAGGGTGCAGAATGGGAGTGGCCCCACACAGAGAAGAACCACACCACGTGAGGGCTGGGGCCTCCTTGATCAGGTTCCCACCCAGGGGAGGACACTGGAGACTGGGGGCACAGAGCCCTCCCTGGGGTCTGGGCACCAGGAGCAGCAGAGGTGGCAGCGCTGGCCAGGTCATGTGCCCCCTGCACCCCATCCCATGCTTCCTTTTGCTTTTTGCTTTCTTGGGGGTGGGGAGGGCGTGGCGGCTAACAGCAGTGTGGTGCGTAACATCTGGCAGCCCCTCACTTCCCGTGTGCTTTAGCTGTCACATGGCACCAGGACCACTTGTCCCTTGTCATGGGAGAAAGCAGGCAAGACTTCAAGAGATGTTTCTCATCTACTCAGGAGTTGTGAAAGAAAATGTCATCCCTTTACCATTCCACCAAAGCATCGTGGGATGGAAATGGAAAGCGAGCCAGGCAGGCAGCCTGCTGGGCTGGGCTGAGCTCCTGACAGCGGATCTGAGAGGGGTTTGGGGAAGGGCACCTGGGGAATTGGACAGAATCAAGGGGGTTGCCTTCAGAACTTTCTCATTCAAAGCCAATGTGTTTATCAAGAAGACATCTGGACTCCAGGGAATGCAGAAGTTATAAAAAAGCACGTGTCACGGTGGGCAGGTTGGAAAATGGATAGAGAATGTGATTATTAAAGTAGCGATGCAGCCCAGCATTTTGCTGTGTTCGGAGAGTCAGCCTGAAAGCTGTGGAATGCAGCCAGGTCTCTGGGCACAGGAGCAGGAGAAGGAGGCCCTTCCCCGCAGGAAGGACACACAAGGCACCTCACTGGGGAGGCCCTGTTCTTGTTAGTGGGATCCCCGATGGCAGCCAAGCAGGGTCTTGACTGGGAGGTTTATGGTGTTCTGGGTTGTTAGAAGGCAAGGGGGCAGCTCTTTTAAAGCAGAAAAGACTTTTGTTGAAGTCAGCACAATGAGATGGGAGAAAGAAAGATTGCAGTGACTGGGATGGGGTTGGGAGATCTAGGGAGAGATTGGCCCGGCAAGCTGTGGGCAGCAACTTGTTTATGCTGTTGGTGGCAGAGGGGGCCACATGTGTGTCAGAGACAAGTCCACCAAGAGAAGGCAGGCTTGCGTGGGCAGAAGACCCCGTTGACAGGTGTTTGGCCAAGCCTACAGTTCCCAGTGGGTGTGCATATCAGCTTGGGCTGTCTGGGGCAAGTAGGCAGCTGTAAGAACCAGAATCGCAGAATTTCAGGAAATAAAATTTCATCCTGACATCTTCAGATTTGTTCTTAACTGGGCTCAGGTTAACTGTGTATGTCCCAGTGGCTGCATGAGTTCTAACAAGTTAGTACGTTAGGGGATACTGCATCTTTCATTCCCCTGTATATGTGCATGTATCTATCTATGTGTGTATAAATATATATATTGGCTGCTCTTGCGCCAAGCTGCAATGCATGTCTGGGTTTGCGTCTTATTGACTATAAATGTTGTGTTGGAGCCAATGTCATTCTTTAATTTATTGCTTTAACGATTTTAGCCTCAATCTCTTTATACATATATATGGATTTGGACTTGATCCGAGGAGGATTTCAATCTAGATCTGAGGGGCTGGCATTGTGGCACAGTGTGTTAAATTGCCTGTGACGCCAGCATGCCATAACAGCCACACTACTCCACCTCTGAGCCATCTGCCTACTAATGTGCCTGGAGCAGCAGCAGAAGGTGGTCCAACTGCCACGTTCTGGCCACACCGGATCTCCATGGGAGACGCAGATGGGATTCTAGACTCCCGGGATTGTCCTGGTTCAGCCCTAGTTGTTGTGGTTATCTGGGAAGTGAACCAAAAAATGGACTCCCTCTCTTTTTTTTGGGTCTCCCTTTCTACTCTATAACTCTGGCTTTTAAATATATAAGTAAATCAATCAAAAATAAAAAATCAAAATGTGAGATTTGGGACTAGTGTGCTCCTGGACAGCATTGGTTGGGACCCCCAAGGTCAGTCCTGTGTGACCAGCCAAGGTCAGTCCTGTGCGACCAGCCAGCTACATGAAGACAGCCAGTACACCTGCATCTTGGAAAACATCTTCCAGGGCTCATTTTTGTTACGGGACGATATTCTGTTTGAAGACTTGGAGAATATGCAGGCATCCGTACTTTGGTATCAGAGTAAAAGCATGTTTAAAGTTTCCAATGATCACCAAAGTGATGGTGTACTTGCTGCTTTGTCACTCGTAGCGCTCTGAGATCTATGTTGAGCAGAGTGGTGCTGTCCGCTCTTTTTCCCACCCACACTGGAGAACCTGTTCGTATCCGGTTCTTGGCGCAATGTCCTGTTCAGCCGAGAGTTCAGAAACCCCTGTCGCTGATCAGTTCATGATGCCGCCCTTGGGCCTTTTCTCTTTGGGGTTCTTAAGCACAGTCCACAGGCTGCAGGGACGGGTTCACCAGTAAGAAGCTGCATCTCCAATTTCTTTCTTACTTTTTAAAGATTTATTTATTTTTATTGGAAAGTCAGATATATACAGAGAGGAGATGCAGGCAGAAACAGAGAGAAAGATCTTCCATCTGCTGGTTCACTCCCCAAGTGGCCACGATGGCTGGTGCTGAGCCAATTTGAAGCCAGGTGCCAGGCGCTTCCTCTGTGTCTCCCACACGGGTGCAAGGTCCTAAGACTTTGGGCCATCCTCTACTGCTTTCCCAGAGCACAAGCAGGGAGCTGGATGGAAAGTGGAGCAGCCAGGATACGAACCAGTGACTATATGTATTCTGGAGCTTGATGGTAGGGGATTATTCTGTTGAGCCATAGTGCTGCCCCGCCCCAAAATTATTTTTGTTGGAAAAAGGAAGGGCATGTGCCTGAGAGTGAGCTCTGCCTTCTGGTTCACTCCGCAAAGTTAGCACTGCTGCAACTCAAGTCAGGAGCTAGGAACTCGGTGTTGGCCTCTCACAGTAGGTGCAGGGACCCAGGTCATCATGAGCTGCCTGCCTCACTCTCACCCCGCTCCCTGCTAGCAGGAGCCGGAGCGGGAGCCGGAGTGGGAGCCGGAGTGGGTGCCGGAGCGGGGCAGGGAGCAGGAGCGGAACGGGCGGGGGTGGGAGTGGGGCGGGAATGGGCCGGGAGCGGAGCGGGAGCCAGAGCATAGCGGGCCAGCGCTTGAATTCGGTCCTTCTGGTACCGGATGCAGTGGCCTCAGTGTCTTCACCACTCCATCGAATTTCTTCTCGGTGTTAGTTTTATGTGTGTTGAAGGAAATAGCTGCCAACTTGCCCCACCTTCCTTCCCTTCCCCTTCCGATAATCTCTGTGTGGGCCTTTCAATATTCCCTATTATTTCTAAAGCTACCTTTGGTTCAATGCGGTTCATTAACCTGTTTTTGTAATTTTGAATGAGATGTATTTTAGTATGAGTGTACTTGGTGCTTGAATTTCAAAATAAATTATTTTTCTTCTTTTAATCAGAACTCTTCCCAATTCTTATTTACTGATTGGCCATGATTTTTGAAGATTACAAATAAAATCTCTCTTTTTTTTATTGGATTAATGTTTCTGATAGAATGGTGAGAGAGAATCTTTCACTGCTGGTTCACTGCCAGAATGGTTGCAACAGGCAAGTCTGGGGTGGGTTGAAGTCAAAGCCAAGAACTGCGTCCAGGTCTTCCACATGGGTGGCAGAGCCCCAAGTCCTTGGGCCATCTTGTGTTGGCCTTCTAGACACATTAGTAGGAAGCTGAATTGGAAGTAGAGTGCCAGAAAGTCCGATATGGGACGTTGATGTTGTAAGCGTGGCTTGCCCTCCCCTCACTCTAGTCTATTCTGATCTCATTGATTATATCGTGAATTAAGCAGAATTAAAGTAGTTACTGTGTTGATTGTTTATTATGTGATTTGATGTCTTCCTTGGCCGAATTCTTCATGAAAGGATTGGTATCATCCGGAGGCACTGGGCGCAGGGTGCAGTGTGGGTTACGGGGGAACGTGGTTGGAAAGCAGCCTTGGGGTTACCTTTCCTTGCTCTGCACCAGATCAGGAAGAAGCAGCAGGAGGTGGTGGGCTTCCTGGAAGCGAATAAAATCGACTTTAAAGAACTGGATATCGCTGGAGATGAGGACAACAGGAAGTGGATGAGGGAGAATGTGCCTGGAGAGAAGAAACCCCAGAATGGGATCCCGTTACCCCCCCAGATCTTCAATGAAGAGCAGTACTGCGGGGTGAGTTCCAGCCTTATGGAAAACTGTGTGTGTGTGCATTTATCTATTGAAAGCTCTTTGGGTGTCAGACTTGTCTATTTGAAAGGCAGAATTACAGAGAAAGAGACAGCATTTCCATCTACTGGTTCACTCACTAAATGTCTCTAACAGCTAGGGCCGGGCTGGGGCCAGGCGCTTCTGCTGGGTCTCCCGCGTGGACATCTGCTGCTGCTTTCCAATCAGGCCCTGACAGGAAGTGACATCACCTCTGGAGCCGCTGAGACTTGAACCTACGCCCACGTGGGCTTCTCCAGCCTGCAGGCAACAGCTCCACTGGCTGTGGCACCATCCAGATTTTTTTTCTAAAGCAGATGTATTCTGAGAAAGCGTTTTGAATTGTTCACAATTCTTAGGTCCTGAACTGTATCTCGCACACAGTGCCTTTGTAACTGACCGATATTCAGGATTTAGATCAGAAGTTTGTCTGTTTTGGAGAGTTGGAGTCAGCGCTGATGCAAAGCGTGCGTTAGTTAGGGAGGGATTCTTTTCACTTTGCCCCCTCAAGCTAAATTCCAGAAATAAAGTCCTTCCTTTTTAAGTTTAAAGACTTATTTATTATTTGAAAGGTAGAATTACAGCGAAATGGAGAGGCAGCGAGATCTTCCATCCGCTGATTTACTCTCTATGTGGCCACAACAGCCAGGGCTTGGTTAGACCACAGCCAGGAGTCGGTAGCTCCATTTGGTCTCCCAAGTTGGTGGCAGGGGCCCAAACGTTTGGTCCGTTTCCCCTTTCACACGCACATTAACAGGGAGCTGGGTTGGAAGTGGAGTACTTGGGAGATGAATCAGCTACCCGTATGGGATGGCAGCATTGCAGGGAGTGTAACCTGGTATGCCCCAAGACCAGCCCCAGAAGTCGTACTTGACACAAAGTGAATTTACACACACAGCTGTCTGGATTCTGTAGTTTTAACACCACGATTTCCTTTTATGCATTTAATAGGATATTTTGATACACAGTCACTTTTTCCTGAGAGTTCAAAGAGTGTAAACAGCAGGTCAAATAGCTGAAAAGAAACATTTAAAAAAAAATTCAAGGCCCCCCAAATGCTGATCTGAGTGTGGCTATCAATGACTGGAGTGAGACTAAGGGAGCTACTTGGGGGCTGGGTAACAGGACTCAGCCCTGGTGTCCACTGCCCAGAAGGGTGACTGCGGTTCGCAGGTCCCTATCAGATATCTTGTGAACAAATAGGAGAGGTGTGAAGTCATGGTCAAGACCCCGGTGGCATCGCACGCGTGTGTGCTGCTATTGCACCCCGGCTGTGACAACGTCTAACTGCTGTTTGTGGAGGCGGCAATGCTGACTCACCTGATCTGATCATTGTCTATCTTACGTGTGCACTGAATGATCATACTGCTCCCCAGAAATATTGCAATTCAGGTGCCTCCTACTCCAAAGGGCGTCACAGTCCCCATGCCGCCCCAGGGGGCTGTGTCAGCTGTCTGCTGAGCAGGGTGGGAAGGCGGGACGGCTTGGTGTGCACCCCTGCTGGGTGTTAAACCAGCTGATGGTGTCTTAAGTCCCCCTTCCTCTTCTCGCAACGCAGCCCCTCCAGTTCCTTTTCCTCCAAAGCGCCTGTCATCCAGCTCTAGTCCAAGAGTCAAATCCCGCCCTGTTTTCAGTCAGTTGAGTTGCCCTGGATCACAGCTGCACTAATGCATTTACCCTCTGCCTGTGGTTGGCTTTACAGCGGAGCCTGGGAGACCCAGAGAATCCAAAATGCTTGTTGTCTGCTTGTGTACACCCAGGGTTCTGCACCTTGGAGTGGAAGCAGATGTGGGCTGTCGCTGGGGGCTTGTGTTAGTTCCCCTGGGGCTGCTGAAAATGCAAGAGAAATGTCTCCCGGGGTCTGGCTGCTGCACGCTGCTGTGGACCCAGGGCTGGGTGTGCAGGCTCCACGCCTCCCCTGGGCTCCGGGGTTCTCTAGTGGCCGGTGTCCGCAGCCCCTGCCTGTGTCTTTGCATGGTGGCCTGCATGGGCTCGTGAGGCCTGTTGCCAGGCACAGCAGCTAGGAACTCATTCGGATCCAATATGATCTGACCTTTTGGCTAATGGCATCTGTTGAGATCCTGTTTCCAGGTAAGGTCGCTTCCTGAGGCCCTGAGTGGACATGGCTGCGAGGGGGACGCTCGTGTGTGAACTCCTGGGGCTCTGTCAGCCTTTGTCAGAGGTGTAGCTGGAAGCTCTGTGGTGGCAGGAATGTCTGCAGACCACCTTCATGTGGTCAGCCATTGTGCAGGAACGCATCTGGCCCACTTGCCCTCTCCTGGGGCTCCCAGAAGGCCCACTGGGTTTTCTCTGGAAGGAAGAAGTCTTCTCTCTCCAGTTCCCAACATTCCTGCCACCTCCCTCTACCGAACTCATGTTTTTGAAGACTAAGGCTCTTGCTGGATAGGGAACAGTACAATGGGGATGGAGGGTCGGGGTGACGGTGGGGTAGTGAAGTTTTTCCTTGTTATTTTCTCTTTCAACTGAAATGTAACATGTACATTGAAAAATGAAAGTGGCTGCTAGTGATGCTCCCTGCTCTCTAGCCACCTTCCCCTGAGCCGGGATAAGCTCCGTGGGCCTGCGACTGGGGCGTGCCTGTTCTTAGATTAACGCTCATCGCTGTGGCTTGAACTTCAGAAACTTGGGATGAAGGGCCTCGTGTCTTCATCTCACACCTGTCCCCAGTAATCCCATAACTAATTCCGCTTCCAGGTGGCCATGCAGGCAGTGTCTTGTTTGGTTTCCCCAAAGTCCTCGGTCTGTGTTTGTAGTTCTCTATCGCTCTAGAACAAGTGTGTGTGCCCTGTATCCCCTTTGTCTGTCCCCTTAGTGCTGCGTCCCAGCTGTCACTGCTTGGTGACACCTGCTTCTTATTGGCGTGGCTACAAGACTTTCCATTGTCCGTGACAGGGGTTTTGGCATAGCTCTGCGGTGGAGAGCGCTGGGCTGTGTTTAGCCTTTGCCGCCCACACAGTGCTGCAGGCTTCGCCACTGTTCGCACCTTGGCGTCTGCTAGGCGTGTGCGTGCAAGTGTGTGTCTACACAAGCAAACACTACATAAACGTGAGAGTACTTCAGAACAGTTTGTGCAAAATGGAATTCAGAGAAAGATGGCCTGGTTTTGGCATGAGCAAATTTGGAAGTTTAGGCCTAGCTTTTTTTTTTCATAATGTGTGTTCTCATGAACTTTTTGGATAGTTCATCTGTAAGAACTTCAAGGGTTAAACTTGTTGGTTCCCTTCTCAGTGAGCCTTTTGAGAAATCTCTGTGTAGGTGTGTATTCCTAGATGTGCTGTGGCACTCTGCACGTGCTTCTCATTGTCATAGCGGTCGGCAGGTGCCCCTGGGTAGGGGCTGCACCGTCCGAATGTCAGTGATTTCTGGGCTGGGTGATGTCAGGGGCCAGAGCTTAGTCCTGTCTCAGCAGTCCCAGGTGCGTGTTAACAGGAAGCTGGAATTGGGGGTGGAGCCAGACCTCAAACAGAGAGACAGCGAATCTCCCCGTTAACTGGTTTATTACTCCTCAAACCTGCTCCCGACGTGCGTGCAATGGACAGACCCCTGGCTGGGCTGAAAGTGGAAGGTGGGAACTCAAGCCACGTCTCCAACATGGGTAGTGAGGACCCAGGTACTTGGAGCAGCCGGCACTTGCACTGGAGCTCAGATGGGATGCTCAAACCAGGAGCCAGGAGCCTCTTCTGGATGTCCAACGTGGGTGCAGGGTCGAAGGCTTTGTGCCGTCCTCGACTGCTTTCCCAGGCCACAACCAGGGAGCTGGATGGGAAGTGGGACCGTGGAGATTAGAACCGGCACCCACATGGGATCCCTGCACGTGCAAGGCAAGGGCCCTAGCCACTAGGCTACTGTGCCAGGCCCGAAAGGCAGATTTTTACAGAGACAAGAGAGAGAGAAGTTCTTCCACATGCTGACTCACTCCCCAAATAACTGCCACAGCTAGAGCTAAGCTGATCTGAAGTTGAGACTCAGAGCTTCTTCCAGGTGTTGCTCGAGGGTATGCGAGCTCAAGGACCTGAGTTATTCTCTGCTGCCTTCCCAGGCCATAGACAAGGAGCTGGATCAGAAGTAGAGCAACTGGGGCATGAACTAGCACATATACAGGATGACAGCACTACAGAGTGGAAGATTGGCCCACTGTGCCATCCCACTGGCCCCTGAAATTTTTTTAAAATGGCATAAACCTGAGTGATTGCCATTGTATCTGTCCGCATGATTACAGCACGATTACATCCAGCTGTTACTGTTTCTGAGCATTCCAGTGGCAGAGCAGGTGGTGAGGAACCTCAGGGCCAGGCAGTGGGTTTCTGTCGCCCAAGGGCAGCGAAGGGATCAGTGTCAGGTGTCAGGGACGGTCCGGAGGGTCATCTCGTCCCTTGCCAGTTTGCACTTGTGCTGTCTGGGCAGAACAGATGAAGATATTATCCTGGCCACCATGGCACACAGCTGTTAGAGAAAGCAGACACCAGCAGGGAAGCCGGGCACCGTTGAGGCCAGGTTACCCTTCCTGGCAGTGAAGTGCTGCTGGAAGGAGCAAGGCAGCTGCTGCTGACAAGTGGGAATCTGCACATCTTAGTCCAGTTCTAGGGCGTGGGGGGACTGGGCAGCCTGGACCTACCCACCACCAAAGGAGCCCTTGTATTCAGCAGAGAGGCCAGCACCTCCGGCTACTCAGAGCTCGAAGGCGGGATGGGCTGCTGCTCCAAGTAGGGTGGAGAGAGGTCTTCTCAGCCTGGTACTGCTACTGAGCACGCCGTCCTGTGCTCCTGAACACGTATGCAGCGTGTCTGATGAAAATAGATAGTTGGAGGAGGAACAGTATAATCCACAGCTATGGCTATGCATTCACCATCCAGGAAGAGGTGATGTGACTGCATATTTATTTGTTTTATTTGAAAGGCAGAGTCGTAGAAAGAGGAAGAGAGGGAAGGATGGAGTAAGAAAAGGAG